ACGACCACTGTCTATTGCATGATATTATATTGGTTCTATGTATTATGTTATCTACGGCTGTGAAGCGTTTTGCTTTGCATGTAAAATGCCTAAACTGATAATATGGTCACGCTTTCTAATCTTATTTTTAATTTTTCATTTCATTGTGCATCAATTCTTTTGGCACTCATGAAAACCTGTCACCTCACTTCGAGACTTAAGCCAAGCATTTGTAATTGCTCTTAGCGTTTCTAATAATCGAATAATTAGGAATTAGACGGTAGGATTTAAAAAAAATCAAAATTTTAAAAACTTCTACTCACTTCAAAATTACCAGTTTCAGTGGTAAAATTAAAACGATTTGTGTATGTAATGTACGTAAGTATGTACTTGTAGTTTTATCATTTAAATAGTTTCAAAAGTCATTAATCAAATGTTATTAACACATCTTCAAATAGACTTATATTCCAATAGAGACCGAGAGAGAGTGCAGGAGGAGAATGCACGTGCAGAGATTGTGTAGCTAATTTTAGCAATTTGATTTACTTCAAGATTAATGTAAGTTAACTTTATGTGTACGAACACAAACATAAAAACTATAACTGTAAAGTTTAACAGACTTTTCTTTTTTTTTTCGAACTTTTTATAATAAAAATCAAACATGCCTATACTTTATAAATCTGCGTAATCACCGGTTTTAGTCGTAACGTCCGGTGATTTCTTGTTATTACTTGTAAGGTGGCAACGATCCGGTAAGTCGTGCTGGAATAGTAGATACTACCATTTTGTCTAGATCTGTCGCAAAACAATCAAACATTGTAGGTGTAGGTCTACCGTAATATCCAAATAAGCAATCTTATGACACCAGAAGGCTTTACATTGTGACGTTTAAGTGCTCCGGCAAGCTTTCTAACATCTGTGTGCTTAGTGCGAGCTTTTTTACGTTCTCGATAGCGTAATAGTTAGCTTATATTTGTATGGAATGGGATCGTTTTCCTAAGTTTGCCGTTAGGGGCGCTGTTCCAACTGCATACAAAATTGGGATAACTTTAACGCTATCCAGAACGTTATAAAACTCGCACTAAGCACACAGATAGGCTCATCTATCCTTAATAAAAAGTAAAAGTGATTGGGTTATTTTAACATACAGATTTTCCAAGAATGTTTTAAAATCAGATTCACACGATATCGGACTACCGAGATTTGAATAAGTCATAAAGTTTATTAAGTCGTAAAGTATGTTCGTATCTACATTTTGTATATCACAAACTTATGTTTTTATCGACGAATTCAAAACGGAGGCGCGGAACGAAAAGTTAATAGTGATCAATAGACGATTAGGTGCTCCGCAAGAAAACCTTGAAAAAAATATAATGTTCTTCACGGAGCATTTTGTTTACAGAACGTAATGTTTTTAGAAACCGTTGATATAAGTAAGTGAAATGCGTCTTCACATCCTGAATTTTTCTAATAATCTCAATAATTCTCCTCTGTCAGCCGTCACCTCAACACTCTCTTTCTCTCATATCGTAATTCACACACTTCATGTCTTCTTCCGTCGATCTCTTCCCCCTCAACCTAGCACTACGATTTCCATACATCTCCCAGTCGCATCCATCTCTTCTCCGGTCATTAATTTATAAATCACACTTACTTTCACACTTCCAATGTATACACCAAACATTCATTTCGCCGTATTTAACTGGTAAGTTCTCTGTTCTAAGCTCTTTTAACACATTCCTATAAAAATACTCAATATATTTAGTTTTGTGAAGTCGATGTTACGTTGCGACATTTTTCAAGGGAATGTGTTAATGAGAAACAAAAATGGCTAACTCTATTAAATATTTACTCCATATTTTGCGAATATGGCTATGTTTAATTTAGGCAATTATAAATATAGTCAGATGGCCTAAATGTATTTATTAATGATGAAACCAATGTTATAAAAGAATAAATAATTCTATAAGAAAATGTTCGAATAATTAAAATTTTAAATTTGGAAATACAGTCAGTTTTAGAAATAACCAACCATTAGATTTTACCATTTCTGTTACTAAGACAACAGCAATAACTTAGAGAAGGTTTGTTTTGACTAAAATATCCGTGTTGCTTTATTTTCATTTTAATTAAAGATCAAGCAATCTAGTATGACCCCTCAAGGTTAATAGAGTAGGTAGAAAAAAATATAGCGAAGACAGAGATGATCAATTTCGATTCTTATCGATTCAAATGTAAAACTATTTAAAAGTATTAGGTTGTTCTGTTGTTTTTTTTTGTCAGTAGCATCTGTGTTGTAGTATATCTATATATTAATACGCGAAGCAAAAACTTTGTACTCCTTTTTACTAAAATTGCGCTGTCGTCGTAGGGGTATGAAATTTCCCACACTTACAGAGAATATAGAGTGTAGAATGCAATTTTTTTTTTAAATAATAAAATATATAAATAATAAAATAAAACATTACACACACTACCATATATACCATATATTTGACACACACACACACGCACATACATACTCTTTTGTTTATCGTTAAAGTCTATGGTCAAACTAAGAATAGAATGTTTATGTTTAATTTGGCGAAATCTGTGAATACTAGTTTATGAATTCTTTGACAATAGAACCATAATAATTGTGAAACTTAAAATTTCAATTAATTATACCTAGTCGAATTTCCAGTACTGAGGGGCCACTAGTCCGTATTAATTACGTGATAGCCTTCTAATTCTGGGATTACTAACAAATAAGACCGCACCTAACACGTACTACGAACGTCTTCCTAAAATTAAGCCCGTAAGGTAAAATGCGTCTACTTATTTTCAGATTTCTGGCACGCAACAGTCCGAAGTAATATTGGCGTGAAGGAACAATAGCGGCTATTTTAATACAATTAAGACTTCAACCTTAACTGTTTCTCCATCTGAGATGACGTACAAATTGTTTTCACAGAAATTACAATGCAACTGAGCCTGTACCTATACTCTAAGCTGATAGCTGCATATAAGTTGTTCTTAATTTATCTACCTACAAGTTAAATCTAAGTGTAAAACTTGTCGACCAAGACCATCGAAGGTCACGTGCATTGTGTTGGATGTGACATGACGTAGGTATAGCTGATGTCATAACTTGCCTCTTCGGCGAATGCTCAACAAACCGAACGAACTTTTCGTTGTGGGCTCTATAAAATTGTCTGAAGGTTTCTTAATTTTGAAATCACTACATTAAGATAAAACAAAGTCGCTTTCTCTGTCCCTATGTATGCTTTAAATCTTTAAAACTACGCAACGGATTTTGATGCGGTTTTTTTAATAGATAGAATGATTAAAGAGGAAGGTTTATATGTATAATAACCTCCATTAAATAGTGGAGAAATCAATAATAAATTACAGTTTCCGAAGCGAAGCGAGGGCGGGTCGCTAGTTATCTAATAAAACATAATAATAATGTATATTATGATAAAGCTTAGTGCCCAAGTATCAAAGGCCTGTTTGTTTCCGAGACAAAGCAAAGAACTCCAGTTCAAAGAGTGAATTATTGTAGAATTCGACTAATGGAGTTATTTTAGAGACGTCGCTTACCGGATGAGGCTGTGTGAATTTTTATGTTAAATATTGCCTTCGTTTGTCTCGCAAGGAATTAGCTTAAGAATGAGTTAATTCGTGTGTTATGTCGTGTTGGTTTGGTTTCAAATTTGTTTCAGATCTACTTATTGATTTATCCGTAAACATTTTGTATTGATTGAGAAGAACAACGTGAAATAGTTATGTTCGGAGTGAAGTTTGTATTTTCATATTATTTTTGTTCTCAGATTCAATGCTAACTTATTCAATGTTGAAAAGAAGAATGAAACGATAAGTCAAACAACAACTTTCATGATTTTTTTCATTTTAAATTATTGGTAAATCAAGAAAAACTCAACCGGTCACATCTCTTTAAAATATCATTAAATGACTAATATCATATAAATTTCACAGGAGATACAGTATCGTTAGTGCGTTCCGTCATTGAGAATAGGAAAGGATTGGAATTTGCTATAAACCCTCATTACCGGCCAAGCGATATTATAAAAAATTTAATATCACAAATGTGAACTTTTTATGTTAATTAACACAGAAAAAAAACAACTTAAGCCCAGCAGGCGTATTCTTGAGTTTATTATCATAATTAACACGATGATAGTTCAACCTCAATCAAAATGACGGCTACATTATTATAAACAAACTTAATAGCGTTTAAAAACTTAAAGAATGCGTGGAAAAATAAAGACGTAAAGAAAGTAAGACTGTGACTTTGACTTTTGAAATAAATAAAATTTAACGCTATTTTTCTTCATAATGCCAAACAAGCACACAATGATCTTGATGGCTTATTAATATAAGTGAAAACATAAGCGAAAACACGCTAGCCGGAGACCCAACTGATCGTAAATGGTCGCCACTGCTAATGTATAATCAAGCTCAGGATTTTTCAAACCTCGTTTGAAGAAATGTCGGCTAGTGTCGTATAAAAAAACTGTATTTAGTTCATGAAATGAAAATAAAATCCGTAGAAAACAATATTTAAATTAAAAATTAAGATAATATTTCTGCGCCTTTCAATAATACACCTTTCAATGAAGAACAATCTCAACGTACATACATAATTTGCACTAAAATTAGTAGTCTTAGTTAAATATACCATAGTATTAATTATATTCGTTTTTATAGCTACACGATTTCCGCTCGGCGTAACAGATTACGTTTGTAAAAACCTTGCGTAAGTTTGAAATTATACGAAAAAGTTTGCTATAACTCTTCACTATAAATATAAATAGGTATTTTACAATCCGCAATTGCAATAGTACTGTAAACATTGAATAATATATATTTTACGAGGTCGAGCGTTAAGTAATCCTTGCAGTAGACCGTAACAACTAATGAATGGCAGTACGAAATGTCGTGACTGCGCGAAATAAACACGACTCGCGTATATAAACTCGATTCAAAACGGACATTGTGAACATAGAAAATAAACAAACCTCTGTGCAGCCTCGTCGATCGTTTACGTTCGTAAAAACCTTCGAAATTGGTAAAATAAACAGAACACAGTTATGAAACACAGTTCGTAACGGGCACTGAGGCGGGGCTTCGGGAAACGGCGACGGACATGCGCACACGTCGGCTGTCTTGCGCTGACTGAGGCGGTGAACGTCGTCGTCGCTAGTTGACCTTCCTGCCCACAGAGCTTAGCAATAGAACCTCTTTTTCCTTTTAAGATGCCTGCCCCAAAAATTATGACCTTCTAAGAAAGATAGAAGAGTTTAAGTGCAATATTTATTCGTTGCGTTCCATCCGCCTTGCAAGGTAGAATCAGGCGGGAATTCCTTGAACGAAGCAAAGCTATTATATATTTACAAACGAAAGTTATTTTTTTTTTTTTTGCTTTATTGATAACTTATTGTGCAGCGAAAAATATGTACTTTCGCAATAAATGTAAGTAACGCAACAGCTTTTGTACTGTGTAAGAAGAATTAACATAAAAACCGTAGATAATTGTTACGCAGTTGTGTATGCACACGTTTAAACATATTACGAAATTACTAATTCCAAAAAATATTAAAGAATGTACAATATTTATTATTGTACATCTATATATATTAAAAAGAATTGCTGTTCGTTAGTCTCGCTAAAATTCGAGAACGACTGGACCGATTCGACTAATTTTGGTCTTGTATTATGTACTTGTGGAAGTCCAGAGAAGGTTTAAAAGGTCGATAAATATGAAAATGCTCGGAGTTAAATAAAAATAACAATTTGTTTTTCCTTTGATGTCTCCCCCGTCGGACGGTTTCCCTTTGTTTGTTTTAAGTTTATTTTATACAAAAGTTTAGGTCTTTTATTTATCGATTGAGGTACTACGAAGTCTGCCGGGTCAGCTAGTTCTTTAATATTTTCTGATTATATTTTATGAACATGTTCTGCTAAACGAAACTCATTGAAGCTTCAGAAACGAGATCGAAGCATCTAAATAATATGTAATCAATGTTATATTAAGAGTAGAGTTAATCCCTGTTTATGATTAAAAGATTGCTGGTGGCCCGCAGGCCTATCCAGTTTCACCGGGACATGTGGGCGAGCAAACGCTCGGTCAAGAGGGGTGGGATTAGCTAACAACTGCCCGAGCGCCTCCGAAGGAGACCTAACAACTCAAGAGCTGCTGCTTCATGAAAGTTTTTTTTTATGGCCCATGTAGGAAGAACGAGCATACGGCCCACCTGATGGTGAGTGGTTACAGTCGCCCATGGACTTTACCAATACCAGGGGCAGAGCCAAGTCACTGCCTAACTTAAGTACTCTCCACAAGCCTCGTTTGAAGAAGGATATGTCATAGCGCTCGGGAAACACCGTGGAGGGGAGCTCATTCCAAAGCCGTATGGTACGTGGCAAAAAGATCTCCGGAAACGCTCTGTGGATGAACGCAGTGGCTCCAGGTAGTATGGATGAACTCTAACTCTGGTGGCGGGCGGGGCGATTGCAAAAACGAGATCATGGTATCATCTCAAACAATTCCTCAGAGCACTCCCCATGGAATAGTTCACTCCGCGGACCACACCACGCACCACGTGCGACAAATACATTTCATAAATAATTCCTCCTCGTGCCTTAATTTTTGTCTAAACATTATTTTGGTGTTTATCTTATACTAGCTGACCCGGCGAACTTTGTTCCGCCTTAGAGACAATAAATGAGCAGACTTTTGATTTTATCATGGTCAATTTTATATTTGGATAATTAATGTGAATTAAAAAAGCAAGTATTTTAATAATTCTTTATTGGCCATGTATTTTAGTTATTATTTTTATTATTATTATTATATTTTCAGTCCTTTCACTCCCAATCTTTCGAATTCTAGTTGCATTACCTATAAGCTAATAGAAACTCTAAATAAACACATCAACTTAACTTTTAACGGCCGTCTGGTGTAGTGGTAAGTGACATGGTCACTACACAAGGGGGTCGCGGGTTCGAATCCCGCCAAGGAAGATATTTGTATGATAAATATAAATGTATTTTCCAGGGTTATGGATGTATATTAAATATATGTATGTGTATAATAAAAATCTTACATTTATTTCCGTTATCTGGTACCTGTAACACAAGTTCTTTACGAACTTATCACGGGACCAGTTAACGAGGCGTGATTGTATTTAAAAAAAAAAAAAAAAGAAAAACTGGTCAACTTCAAAATTCTACTATAATTAACCATAAACTACATTACGTTTAGATGTCAGTTGCGTTTTGTTATTCCATATCAGTTGTGTTTTGTCATACCACGTTTTACGTCACGTCCCACGGGAACGTGATAAAAATTATCCTATATCCTTCTCCTGGTTCTAAGCTACCTCCCCACCAATTTTCAGTCAAAACAGTTCAGCCGCTCTTGAGTTATAGATAGTGTAACTAACACGACTTTCTTTTATATATAAACTAGCGAACCCGGCGAACTTTGTTCCGCCTTTAGAGGCAATAAATGAGCAGACTTTTGATCAAAATCAAGTTTTTATTTGGATAATTAATGTAAATTAAAAAAGCAAGTATTTTAATAATTCTCTATTGGCCATGTATTTTAGTTGTTATTATTATTATATTTTCTTGTTCTTCTTCAGTCCTTTCGCTCGCGTCTTCGAATCCTAGTTGCATTACGGTTTCGTCGGGAAAGATTTGATTGTGTTGGTCGCGGCATGGCTTTCTTAATGATTACCTATCTCGGCACAATAAGCTAATCGAAACTCGAAATAAACACAACAACCGGACAACTTCAAAATTCTACTATAATTAACCATAAACTACATTACGTTTAGCTGTCAGTTGCGTTTTGTTATTCCATATCTGTTGCGTTTTGTTATACCACTTTTTATGTCACATCCCACAGAAACGTGATAAAAAGATTCTCCTGATCCTAAGCTACCTCCCCACCAATTATCAGCCAAATCAGTTCAGCCGTTTTTGAGTTATAAATAGTGTAACTAACACAACTTTATTTTATATATATAGATATAAAATTCTCGTGTCACAATGTTAGTTACCATACTCCTCTGAAACGGTTTGACCAATTTTTATGAAATTTTATATGTATTTTCAGTAGGTCTGAGGATCGGCTACTATCTATTTTTCATACCCCTAAGTGATAAGGGTTGTCCACCCCTAATATTTAGTTTTTGGACTTTTTTTTTTGTGATAATGATTTATGTGTTTGAATGAGGTTTTGTTATTTTTATATTCCCTCATCGTTCACAGCGCTACATGCCCCTTTCACTCATTTACTACTTCCTTATAGCCCGAGAGCCCGTGGGATCTACCTGTATGTATTTGACCAGACCTGAATTTTCGTACATTGAGACCCCTATACCTACCATGCATGAGGTGGGGACTCACTAAGCTCAAAGTGGTCGACGCGCCGAGCGCTCAGGTAGGACAGGTACCGATTTTGACGGATTTTAAATCCATTTGACCACGTCTGCCGTTTTGAAATTTTGAAAATATATGATTATTATTATCGGAAAATAAGAATGGCAGACCATTATCGCGCATTTTACTTTGTGGCAGACCACTTTGAAAATGCTAAATTGCATTGAAAATGCAAAATTTTGAAAGTAATTGACTAGATCTGCCATTGATTTAATAATATGTTGTTTATTATAGTCTTAAAAACTTATATTGATCACGGCAGACCTCTACATTGCGTACATACATCAACATATAATAAAATCTTAGCTACTACCCGGCCAGATGTATATTATGTTTTCCGTTCACTGTTTTAGAGGAATATAATTTACTTGCGATTTACTTTAGCAATGTATTTACCGAAATTAATATTTTTTTATATTATATATACTAAACTTCATTAGTTAGACAATTAAGAAGTGAATTTTTTATGGAATAATTATAAATAATACGGTACAATGCTTACAATTAAGTTAGTTTTTTTTTCTACAGTAGAAATTCTCTAGAAATCTTATATAAAATATGGCAAAACAACGTTTGCCGGGTCAGCTAGTATTTTTGTAAAATCGCTTTACCGAATACGGTGAGCGTATTGACATCGTCGTGGCTGTCCCTCTGGTGTTGCTGATGTCCACGAGCGACTTACCGGTCGACCGTATGCTCATCTGCCTACGACGACCAAAAAAGGCTGTAATCAAAGTAAGTAAGCTAATAAAAGCGGCTCTAATTGAAAGGAAACACGTAGGTATGTTTATAAAAATGTTGAAATCTACATTTCGTAAACCTCTAATCCTTCAAAACTGGTCAAAGTAAAGTTATTATTAAAAATAATAACACGTGTGCAATTCACACTTCTTTGAATCGAAATCTTCAAAATTATCCTCCCGCAGCCTACTTAAATGATGTAAATGTATCTGTTTCTCTTTTTTTAGTGACACTTTTGCGTTTCATCGAACGTCGCTTCTTACTTTAATAATTTGATTAAAAATGACGAAAAACTGTTAATCTTCGTAATTTTCGTATATTATCGTAATGTAGCATTGAAGGGGGCCTAATTGACGCGTCAAGCGATGTTCCTCCATCTCTTCCTGCTCGAGGGCATTCTGATACACTCATTTAAGAGGCCACTTTCGTAATTTTAGATAGTTCCAAATTTTATATTTTATATTTTTCACTGGGTACCATACTGACATACCAGGGCTGAAGCCTTTGAAAATTGTAAAAAGTGAAAAAAATAATAGTAGGATGAAACCATAGAGTTACTATTCTAACTGGAGTGCTTACTTCGTTTGACATAAAAACTAAAAATATACTTTATCTCTATGGTTTAAAGTTTATTTTTAAATAGCAAAAGATGTAAGGAAAAACGGTCTGAAAAGAGAATGATTATTAAGTGGTGGTGTCCCTCTCGCACATTTTACAAACAAAAAGCAGTGTTGCTAGCTTAGAGGATTTTCNTGTTTTGTATTTACATAGGGTTACACAGAATTACTTAAGGTAAATTCAAAACTGATGCATGTGTATAATTTTGTCCTATAATTAAATTATATATGGTCACCACATTAGACAAGGACACCGCGACCAAAAAGTATTCTCTTTCGAGACCGATTTCTCGGCATTAGACAGCACTCCAGTTGTAGGTACTTATTAACTCCATGGATGAAACCCATTAAAAAAGGACGAGAATATAACAAGAATGA